TTTTTTTTTTTTTTTTTTTTTTTTTTTTTAGCTAAAAAGTACATATTTTAGCATTATTGTTCTGCTTCTGAAGATGGTTTCATATTAAATTCTGTATATTATTAAATTATCCTTAAGAAGTGGTGAGCCTGCTAAATTCTGGGTGTCTGCTCAGTATTTACTGGTCTTGTGATGTTGGCAAATATTTTCTTTGTATACAGTGAGTTAATCAAGGCACCAATTCAGGGAAGAATCCTTATGCAGGACATTAAGTACATGCTTAAGTGCTATCTTGAATAGGAACAGATGAAGATAAAGGTTGCAGTGCTTTCTTAACTCAGGGCCCAAATTTATAAACTAGGTATTTGAAACTAGATTTCTGGAAAGTGATATGACAGTATATGAATCAGAAACTTACTCTTTGATATTAACTTGATTATTTGCACATCTACAACATTCAGATAAATATACTCACCTGTAGGGTTGGTGAATTCTTATCCATACTTCCCCAGCTGAGCACCCATACCTGATCATGTGATTTATCATAGTGCAGTTTCACTGGTACTGGGTCTGTACTTACTGCCTATAGAGTACAAAAAAGTGAAACAGTCAGTGTCTGGTTTTGAAAGAGAATAGTAATGTATAACATTGAATAAAAAATTATGACTGGATGAGGTCTTCCAGATACATTATTTAAAAATTAAGCTGTCAGTTGCTGAGGCAGCCTTCTGAGTAATTACTGTATTTCTACTTAAAGAATTATATCTGTGTTCATTTTTTACACAATATGACACAGATATATGCTCATTCAACACTTAATTAAATTGCATGCCATTCTGAAGCTATTAGGAATCAGGAAACAAAAGTAGTAAATTAGCCAAACATTTACTTATCTTTCTTACCATATTTTACATGCCTTAACATATATGAGTAAGATTTTTACTGCCCATCAACTGAAGATGCAAAAGGAATTCTGATCATCAGTTTCTATAAAAGTTGCCATTTCTTCTCATCTGTAGATAAGTGTGGTTGTAAAATTTATGTAAACATTTAAAAGCTTAAATAAGCAAAACATGTTTCATAGATTCATAGATTGTAAGGAGCTGGAAGGGACCTTGAAAGATCATTGGGTCCAGCTCCCCTGCAGTAGGCAAGAAAGACAACTGGAGTCAGGTGACCCCAGCGAGGTGACCGTCCAGTCTCCTCTTGAAGATTGCCGGGGTAGGTGATTGCACCACCCATAAGCTGTTTGTTCCATCTCACTGTTTCCTAGGTTCAGTGTTTAAATGATTGTCATCAACTATAAGAAATTAAATGGATATAATACTGTGCATATAGCAAGTATTTTATTAGATAGTTAACATTTGTTAGTTAACATCTGTTAATGTGTTTATGACTCGTATTTAATTTACAAAATCAAAAGAGGTTACGGCAGCAAAGTTACTTAATTTTCCCTAAACGTACACTTCTACCACAGATCAATACCATTTTTGTTTTTAAATTCATTGAAGTAATTTCTTCCTAGAAAATTAAACCATTCACTACATCTCACCCAGCACTTAGCAGCAGTTACAATAAAGGACACAATAATCCCAAGGCAATAGTTTCCATCTTTCTGCTGGAGTCGAGGTAAAAAGCTTCCTCCCTGTAAGCCAAAGCCAAGGGTATGTAAAAGCAATCCTGGTTTAGAATCTAGTTACACAATTGGCAGCACCAAGTTTTCCTTTGATAACTATTGTTATATGCCATATTGTTATGGAAGGTCAGAAGAGGTTTAGGATCAGATTCCATTTATTAAGCACTTAAATGACACAGGCCATGTACAGACATTACAGTTTTACTGGTTTAAGTGATCGGAAACTGATCTATACCCATAATACAAGTTCAATAAACAGGTTGATTTTAAAATGGCAGAATCTGGTCCAAAATTTGTACCACCTCTTCCCCACACCAAAGGGCAAATGTGTATTCTGTTCACTACCAATCTTAAGTACACTGCTTACAGAAAACCATATAACTTGGGTCAATTTCTCCAGGGCTTTTTGAATGTCTGAACCTAGCCCTAGATTTCATAGATTTCATAGACATTTGGACTAGAAGGGACCCCGGAGGAT